CAAAGATACAGCCAGAGGCCACTGTTAACATATGACCAAACTGCAATGCAAGAACATTCATATTTATGGTGGTTTGAATGAGAATGGCCCCCATAGGCTAACAGATTGGAATGCTTGGTCACCAGGGAGTGGCACTATTAGGAGGTATGGCCTTGTTGGAGTAAGTGTGACCTTATAGGAGGAAGTGTGTCACTGGGGTTGGGCTTTGGGGTTTCAAATGCTAAAGCCAGGTCCGGTGGCCCAATCTTCCTGCTGCTTGAAGATCTGGATGTAGACCTCTCAGCTACCACTCCAGCATCATGTCTGCCTGTGTGCCTCCATGTTCCCCACCATGACAATAATAGACTAAACCTCTGAACTGTAAGCCAACCCCAATTAAATGTTTTCCTTTATAAGAGTTACTGTGGTCACGGTGTCTCTTTACAGCAATAGAACACTGACTAAGACATCAATCTTGAAACTTTTGTTTATAGACTGAAACTAAAAGACTTGAGAGTATTCTAATGATATTCAATGGCCCACTGTTATCATTCTATTAACTTGAGATCAGACAAGTCAAATCACCTGTTTCAAAAAACCAAACTTAAATAAACAAAAACACTTGTGTGAGGACTAAAGAAACAGAAGTCAATACAGCTCCTAAAGAAAGCAAAGTTGTGTTAACACAAGAAAACCAATTTTTAAAAAAATGTTTTTAAGGCAAAAGCATAAGTTTGAAGTCAATGTAAATGACATGGCAAGGCCCTGACCCAAAATACCCCAAATAAGAGAAACAAAAACAAACAAACAAACAAACAAAAAACCCAGAGAACACACAATAATCATAGATGCAGAAAAACCATCGGGGAAAACCAAACAATTCCAGCAAAACAATTCTCAATAAGCTAGTAATAAAAGGGAACTAACTTTATCAAACCTGATAGATGTTATAAAGACTAAAAATTCTTTGCTCTTAAAAGTGGACAAGAATGTCCACTTTGCCATTTCTGCACAATTTTGTGCAGACCAGGCTGGCCTCGAACTCACTGAGATCCGCCTGCCTCTGCCTCCCAATTGCTGGGATTAAAGGTGTGTACCACCAACGCCCAGCCCGTAAAATTCTATTTTAAGATGACAAGATCCAACCTATAAGACATTCTAGGCTGGAACTGGAGAGATAGCTCAGTGGATAAAAGTGCTTAGTGAACTAGCCTGACAATCTGAGTTATATCCTTATTCTTATCCACAGTGGAAGGAGGAAACCAACTTCCAAAATTGTCCTCTGACCTCCACAGCCAGTCAGTCAGCTCCCCTCCCCCCCCCCCTCTCTCTCCCTCTCTCTCTCTCTCTCTCTCTCTCTCTCTCTCTCTCTCTCTCTCTCATGAACAACACGAACTAATAATTAATTAAAAAATAAAAAACTAACCTTCTGGTCTGAGTATATAGTGCAGTTGCTAGTGCTTGCTCAGCGCTCACACAGCCCTGGGTCTGGTCCCTAGCACGTCATAGCCTGGGTGTGGCAGTGCATGCCTACACTTTCAGCACTCGAGATAGCGACAGGAGAGAACCTCAGGAGTTCAAGGTCATTCCTGATTATGTACCAGGTTTGATGCCAACCTGAGTTCCATAAGACCCCATCTCAAAGTGAGGAAAGAAAGACAGGACAATTCATTTACAATAACATCAAAAATAGTAAGCACTTAGGAACAAATTTAACCTACACATAGTTTTTTGTCCTCTGTAAATGTAAAGCACAGGTGAGCAAAATTAAAGACATATGCATATGAGATCTCATCCCATATTCATGGGTCAGATGGCAATAGTTCCAAAATGAATCAACAACTTAGTATGTTCCCTCCCTATCAGAATTCAGGTATTCTTTTGTGTTTTTTGTTTTGTTTTTGGTAGGAAATTGACATTAAAACTCATCTGAAAATGTATGGACTCAAAAGAGTAAATTATCTTAAAAAGAACAAAGATTAAAGACTCACACTTATCAACTTCAAAATTATCACAAAGTCATAGTATGCCAAAAATACTGTAAGGACAGACACAGAGATGAACGGATTGCCAGTCAATTCTGTGTGTCAAGTGTGGTCTTTACCTCGTGGTAGTGGGATACCAGTTATCTACATGTAAAAGAATCAAGTTGGACACACATTATCTCAAACTGGATAGCAACTCTAAATATAAAACCAACACTTTTAAGACTTAGAACATATAAGATAAACACTTGTGTCCTTTTACAAGTAATGGCTTTTCAGACTATAGCAAAAGCACAAATCATAATAGTATATAAATACTGCATCTCACCAAATTTAAGTGTATGCTACAAGCTACAGAAACCATTAAGAAAGTGAAAAGAAGCAGGGCATGCTAGCACACACTTTTAATTCTAGCACCTGGGAGGTAGAGGAAGGAGGATCTCTGTGAGTTCAAGGCCAGCCTGGTCTACAAAATAAGTTTCAGGACAGCTAGAGCTACAGTGAGACCCTGCCTCAAATCGCACACACACAGACAGAGTGAAAAGATAATCCTTAGAGTGGGAGAAAATACCAATGATAGAGCTGATAGAGGACCTGCATGTGGGATACATTAGGAACTCTTCTAAATCCGTAATAAAAAGAACAACTCAATTATGAAGTTGGCAAAGTATCTGACAAACATCTTCATGAGACAGATCCAAATGGCCAACAGGCACATGAAAAAAAAATGATCACTATCAACTGCTATGAGGAAATTAAAACCACAATGAAATAGCACATCACAGCCACCTGTCAAAAAGACAAGTGTTGGTGAAGGACATTGAACCTTTACACATCTTGGGGGTGAAAAATAACACAGCTTCTTTGGAAAACAGTTCGTAGTTTCTCAAAAGGTTAAGCACAAAGCTACTATGTGACTCAGGAGTTTTACTCCTAGATATATGCCAAAAGAAATGAAAACAGGTACCTACAGAATCCTGAGAACAATTTCTTGCAGCAGAAAACACAGAAATGTCTACCAGTTGCTGAATAAATAATACGGTTTTATTATTACTATCAATACTATTCGACAATGAAAAGTAGTAAAAAGCATTAATGAATCTAACAACACAGACAAGTCTTGACATCAGGTTAGCTGAAAAAGTTCTGTCATGGCCGGGTGGTGGTGGCCCACGTCGGGAGGCAGAGGCAGATGGATCTCTGTGAGTTTGAGATCAGCCTGGTCTACAACAGCTAGTTCTAGACAGCCTCCAAAGCCACAGAGAAACCCTATCTCGAAAAACCAAAACCAAACCAAAAAAAAAAAAAAAACAACAAAAAAACCCAAAAAACAACAACAAAAAAAAACAAAAAACAACAAAAAAAAGTTCAGTCATGAAAAAGCTCATATTGTAAATTTCATTTAAAAGAGAAATGATAAATAGACTATTTTACACAAAGAATAGATTAATGGTTACCTAGAGTTGCAAAGGGATTTTTGAAGTGGGAAGACTCAAATGTGACTGCCATTATAGATCCCTTGTGTTTTTTTGTTAACATTTTTAGTCAGTAACAACCATGTAAGAGCTGGCTGTCACAGAGCAGCTAGAGTGTGGCCAGGAAGCCTTGCATTGTGCTGTGTTTCCTAGAGAGCAACACATCAGGATGGCTAAAGGTGATCCTCAAGGGACCAAAGGGCTTGTGACTGCTTATGCCCTCTTTGTGTAGATGGGCAGAGAAGACCACAAGAAGAAAAGCCAGATGTTCTCAATATTGCAGGATTTCCTACGTGCCCTGAGAAATGGAGACAATGCCTGGGCAGAGAAATTTAAAACTGATGAAATGGCAAAGTTGGACAAAACATGCTACATTCGGGAAATGAAGGACTGTGGACCAGCTTGCAGGTGGCCTGAAGAAAAAGGGCATTACTGCTGTCCACGGCCAACTGTCTGAATTCTTGTTTTGTTCAGAGTTCTGACCCAAGATCAAAGCTACAAATCCGGGAATCTCTACTGTAGATGTGGTTAAAAAACAACAACAGTTGAGTGAGATGTTGAACAGCTTAAGTAGTACAGAAAAGCAGCCATGCGTCAGCAAGGTGGTGATGCAGAGGGAGAAATATGAGAAGGATGTCCTAAGTACAAGTCAAAGGGAAAGTCTCATGGTCAAAAGGGTCTCACTAAATTTGCTCCCAGAAAGGTGGAAGAAGAAGATGAGGAGCAGCAGCAGGAAGAAGGAGGAAAAACAACTATTTTATTTGGCTTAATTTTTTTTTGGAGACAGTTTCATGTAGCCCAGCTGATCCCTCTGCATCAGCCTCTCCATGGTACTGGCAATATAGGCAGGTACCACCATGCTCAGCTAAATGTTTATCTGTCTCTTTTCAAATACCACAGAGATGGGAGGGCCATGATCCACACATTTTATTTGAGCTAGCGACTCTTCAGAATCTGACCACAGTCACCCCACAGCTTCTCAAAGCCTCTGGTTTACTTAAAAGTGGACGCGTGTGTATCTCCTGAAACCGTACCAAAGTTGCACATGTTTCCAAACATTTTAGGAAGAAAAGGTACCCTGGTGTTCTCCTTACTCTGCAATTTGCTTTTGGTATGACAGGGGGTATGACAGGGTATTTGAAGATATGTCTGGCATTTTGTTTTCAGTTAGTGAGGTGACATTAGCATGGTTATTGGCTGAAAACCCTGAGCTGAAACATATCTGTAGTTCATAAAGTAAACAAAAACAAACTTGATGCTCCTTGCGTGGCATGGGGAAGATGCCTTTTGGAAGGGCTGTAGTTGAGGGTGTGCACTGTGAGGCTAGATCTGTGGACATTGTGATGGCTTCCAATAGCTTGAAGTTGTCTTGTGGTTTTCTATGACACAGCATTCTGCTGACATTATTCAGCTGTTAGTTATTACGTGTGACTGTTTTCCTTCTAGATAATACAGCTTATACACTTTAACAGCTATTCTAAATAATTTCTTTGTGGTTGATTTTAAAGGAAGATGGAAATACTACCAGTCATTGGCATTGTTTTCAGACTCTTTTAGAGACCTTTTTTTGAAGTCCCTCTATGTACAGAAGCAAAGTTCCGAATGGCGTTTCGAAGAGTTGCAATCCCCTCGGAGATATCAGAAGAATTGATGACTGAATGTAATGCCCGATTATATGCTGCAAATGAAGGTTTGCACAATAGTGAATAAAGTCAGGTTCTATACAACTCTCCCACTTCTTTTCCTATCAGTACTGCTTCTTTACCCAAAATGCCACAGGTATTAAGTCTAGCCACGGAATAAATATTTATCAGGTCCTTATAATAGAGCAAGCACTCTGTAAGGAAAAAAAAGAGAACACAGAAAATGGTAGCAAAACTGAAGTTGCAGTGAAGTACTTCCACACCACAGGCATATACAAAATGTCATCATGATAGGAGGATGGATATGAATGAACAGCTAGGGAACACTGAGAGGATTTGAGAAGCTAGATCATTTAAAGTGGGCTTTGGGCACTGACAGGTGGAAGGGGGAAAAAAAAGGAGCTACAGGTAGAGAGCCAAGTGGATGAGATGCAAAAAGTATAAGAGCAAGTTTGGTGAGGCTGTAGTATGGCCTGAGACCAGAGACAAGTATATAACATATCATGCATTTCATTCTGTTATGAGGAAAAGTGTTCAAGTAAGGGAATGGTAAGATTTGTACATTTACAGGACCGATAAATCCATACCACAGAGATAAAACACATCAAAATGTAAACACTGGCAACATTTTCAGTGTCTATGTGTGGCTGACAGAGTTTTTCTGTTCTATAAGTCAATATTTAGTGACGGACAACACACATTAGCAACCACAGGAAGGATTACATTTTTTCTGCTTGGGACTCTTATTTTTCTTTCTTTCTTTTTTCTTTTTCTTTTTCTTTTTCTTTTTTTTTTGGACAGGGCTTGTCTGTGTAACAGTCCTAGAACTAGCTTTGTAGACCAGGCTAGCCTCAAATTTACAGAGACCTGCCTGACTCTGCCTCCCAACTTCTGGGATTAAAGGCATGTGATACTACTGCCCAGCTACTTGGGACTCTTGATAGAGCTCCTCATCTTTCTTGGAATCACCAACAGAATGGACAGTCTAATATGGATTTATGCTTGTAAGTTTGTATTAGACACCATTAAAGTATGCAGATAACAGACTCCTAATTTAGCCATAAAGGACAAACTCTTTTTTTTTCTTCTAGATTTTTTTAATTTAAATTAGAAACAATCTTATTTTACATCTCAATCCCAGTTCCCTCTCCCTCTCATCCTCCCATGTTCCCCACCAACCCCCCATCCCATCCCCACTTCTGCTCCCCAGGGAGGGTGAGGCCTTCCATGGGGGAAATCATCAAAGTCTGCCACATCATTTGGGGCAGAGCCTAGGCCCTACCACATGTGTCTAAGCTGAGAGTATCCCTCTATGGGGAATGGGCTCCCAAAGAAAGGGCAAACTCTTAATAGTGTTCAATTAAGGGACAATCTGGAACCCAAGTCCTTTTATATACAATGTAATGAGCTGGAAATACTTTTCTACCATAAACAGGACTAATCAGAAATGAAACTATAACAATTGTCATTGCCTCACATAGTTGTTCTATAAAGGTATATATAAAATTCTTATATATACATACATACATATATGTATATATAGTAAGTTCTAAAATTCTAAATAACCACAATCACAATACACATACACATACCCACACACCCACACACCCACACCCCCCCCACACACACAATTTTTAAAACTGCTATTAGGATTCAACTATTCCCTAAGAAACTTACCTTTGTAGTTTTTATAGAAAATGCAATTGTTGGCACAGGTATCAGGATGAGCATCCCAAAAATCAGGACCACAACAGCATAATGGAGGTAAAGTGATATTATAAAGCTTCATTTTCTCCTGGACCTGGGCTCGTAAAGCTTCTACATATCTATAAAAGTACAGTGCAGTCAGGTAAGTCAACTACTAGGAGAATAAGCATGAATCCTGATTTTATACCCAGCTTTCACTGCTCTGTACCTCGAGTCTTCCTATGCAGTGGGAAATAGCACTAGGAAGATGCAGTACTAGTCCCAAGAAGAACTAGCCAATCAAAACAGTGGGGGAGTATGCACCCTAAATGAGGGAAAAGTATGAAAAAACCAACCAAGTCTGTCTGTGTCTGTCTGTCTCTGTCTCTGTCTCTCTCACACACACACACATTTTCTCTTTGGTTTTTCTAGACAGAGTTTCTCTGTGTAGCCCTGGCTGTCCTAGAACTTGCTTTGAAGACCAGGCATCCTCCTGCTTTTGCCTCCCGAGCACCAGGATTAAAGGCGTGCACCAACACTGCCCAGCTAAACAAAGTCTCCTAAGAAATTTGAAAAAATGTACTTTCTGTCTCTTCTAGAGCCAGAACTTCATGTAGAATGTTTAAAATCAATCACCTTATATATTCTTTTTCTCTCTGGTGCTGTTTTTCTCTGGCTCCTTTTATTTCTTCAAGCTGTAACTGGGCTAAAGCATCATTTATCTTCTCTTCTGAATAAGGTTCTTCATGACAGCGCATCCTTAGGAGCCTCTGCTCTTCAGCATAGCGCTGCTGTTCTTTCTTTTTCTTAATCCTGAAAATGAAACAAAACATTTTCTAAAAATGTTACTTAAAATTAGCTTCCTGCTACAAATAACTCAAGAAATTTCCTCAAAAAAGGGAATCACAAAATCAGCTTGGCAATCCAAGGGCTTTTTTTGTTTGTTTGTTTTTCAAGACAGTTTCTTTGTGTAGCTCTGGCTATCCTGGAATTCAAAGAGATCTCTGCCTCTGCCTCCCTAGTGCTGGGATTAAAGATGTGGCCAGCCCTCCAAACCAAGAGTATTTTAAAAAGTGTTTGTGTTAGCGGACCTGAGTTTATCTTCTTTTTCTTCTTCTTTTTTTAAATGTGGATTGGGTTTTTGCCTGGACGTACGTCTGGGACGTACGTTCCAGGGGATGAGGGTGCCACATCCCCTGGAACTGGAGTTACAGACAGTTGTGAACTGCCATGTGGGTACTGGGAATTGAACCTGGGTCCTTTAGAAGAATGGCCAGAGTGGTCAGTGCTCTTAGCCACTGAGGCATCTCTCCAGCCCCTGAATTTATCTTCAAATCTATATAAATCACCTCTCAAAGGGAAACAAGAAATGGCTAGTAAGACATTTTCTGTAAGAATCCCACACAAGAACAGGTTCAGGTAGGCAGTGTTAACAGGGACCAGATTTGTCCTCACACCAAAGAAACTTCAAAAGCAAACATGATAAAATACCAGAAATAATAGCTTTAAAGACATTGACATTAACCAGCAAAACACAGCAGTCCCTAAAAGACGACAAACAAAGAAGTCATCCCTATTACTGCCAACCTCCAAAGTTCCTAGATAATAGCATAGAGGAGGAGAATTCAAATGGAACCTGGTAGATTTGAGGAAAACACATATATAATAGCAACACATTTATCAACCAAAAGGTAAAAAAATAAATCACAATGTTAAATATTGTCTTAGGGTTTCTATTGTGATAAACACCATAACCAAAAGCAACTTGGGATGGAAAAGGTCAATTTTTCCTCTTATAACTCGAAAGTCACAGTCCATCAATGAGGGAAGTAAGGGTAGTAACTCCAGGCAGGAACCTAGAGGCAGGGATAGAAGCAGCCATGGAAGAAGGCTACTCATTGGCTTTTGTCTCCAGGCTTGCTCAGACTGTCTTCTTATATAATTCAGGCCCACCTGTCTTCGAAGTTGACACCACCCGCAGTGAGCTGGGTCCTCCCATATCCATCATTAATGAAGAAAATATGCCAAAGATTTGCCTACAGGCCAATATTACAGAGGCATTTTCTTAATTAAGATACCCTTTTCAGAGATATGCCTAGGTCTATGCTACACCAAAAACAAAACAAAACAAAACAAAACAAAAAACAAAAAACCCAACCATTACAGATACCCAACCAAAGACTACCAAGAGTGGTGGTTTGAATGAGAATGGCCCCCACAAGGCCATAGATTTGAATGATTGGTCACTAGGGAGTGGCACTATTTCAAAAGATTAGGTGTGGTCCTGTTGGAGAAAGTATGTCACTGAGGGTGAATTTTGAGTTTTCAAAAACCCTAAACCTGGCATGGTGGTGCACACCTTCCATCCCAGTACTTGGGAAGCAGAAGCAGGCAGATCTCTTAATCTGAGGCCAGCCTGGGTGAGTTCCAGGACAGCCAAGGCTATGCAGAGAAACCCTGTTTTTAAAAAACAAAATAAACAAAATAAATGTGTTTTCAAGTCCATGCCAAGTCCAGAGTCAGTCAGACTGTCAGCCAGCCAGCCACCACCTCTCTCCCTCACACCCTCTCTCCTTTCCCCTCACGCCCCCCCCAGTCCCGCCCCCAGCCTATGGACCAGGGTGTAGAACTCTTATCTACTGCTCCAGTGCCTACCTGCATGCTGGCATGTTCCCCACCGTGGTGATAGTGAACTAAACCTCTGAAACTGTAAAAGCCCCAGTGAAATGCTTTCTTTTATAAGAGTTTCGTGGTCATGGTGTCTCTTCATAGCAATAGAACAGTGACTAAGACACCAAGTATGTAAAGAGGCAGGGAAGTAACTCATAATGAACAGAGTAATTAATCAGGATCAACTAAAACTGAACTGTTGTGTTAGAATTACATAGAAGGAATTCACATAGTTACTACAGCCACATCCTATATGTGCAAAAATAAAAATCTGCTGGGCATGGTAGAACATATGCACCTCAGCATTCAAGAGGCTGAGGCAGGTAGATCACCCCAAGTATGAGGCCGGCCTATCTATATAGTGAGTTCCAGGTCAGCCTACAATACATAGTGAGACCCTGTACTGAACAACAAGAAATAACATGAAAAAGACTTGAAATAAAACTTTCAGGGTTGAAAGCTACAATTTCTGAGACAAAAATATGCTATGCTTTGTCATAGATGTAAATCTGTAACCATAAAGACAGAATGTCTAAGATGAATCACAGCAAAGGGGGTACAAATAAAAAGCACAAAATAGATTAAAAATCAGGTAAAGAAATTCAGTAGCCTTGTACTTACTGAGTGAGCACTCTACTACCCAACTAAATCCCCAAACCCTATTCTATTTTTGGTTTATTTTGATATTGTACTGAAATTTCCTTTTATGGTTATTGACAGCATACAGGAATTCACACATTATTACTAAATTCACTTTCAAATTCCAGTGGAGTTTTACAGAGTGATCACGTCATTTTCAAATAAAGGCAGCTTTACATCTTGTTTTTTGTTTTTTTTTTAACTGTTTTATTTCTTTTTCTCGACAGACTGCACTGACTAGAACTTTCAGTATGACCTGAATAGATGTGACAAGAACAGGCAGCCTCTGACTTGGAAAGAAGGCTTTTAGTCTTTCATAGGAAGTGCATTAGTGGTAAGTTTTTCAAAGTAAAGAAATCCCCTTCTCTTTCCAAATTGGTGAAAACAAGTGGGTGTTGCATTTTGTGGTCATGTAGCATTACTCCCTCTCTAACTCCATTTCTTCTTTTGAATGTTAAATCAAAAGATTTTTGTCCCTGGGGTACAACCCACTTGGTAATATTATGTTGCCCTCTTAATATGTCGTTTGATTCTCTTTGCTTGGAATGCTGATAGAGGTGTGGGTAGTGAAAACTGTGCTCATGTCTCAGGTGGAAATAACAACTCTATTGGGAACTGAATTAGAGGCAATTCATATTACATTCTTGCAAATAATTTGTCTCTATTTTGCTCATGTCCTGAGACTTTGTGCAAAGCTAAATTTAAAAGACACCTCTTCTGGATTGGATCTATGTCTTATTTGTGGCTTTTGTTTGCTTGTAGTAATATTGGTACAATGACTTTGGAACAGCAGTTTGACGGCTTCTTTTAAGACTGCAATACACACCTATCTTATTCTGCAGGTACTTAGCCAAGAGAAAAGATAATATATGCCCACACTGATGCTTGCATACAAATTTCATTGAATTTTATTTACGAGCAAGTCAATGCCTGTCTACAAGGCTTCAAAAGATGAGATGGTACCTGTTATGGGCTAAAGGTCCTTTAAGTTAAAGGCAATGCTCATCTTCATCTCCCAATCTGAAAATCTTGGAGACTTAGGGATTACACTAGGTCTACTTTGTTTGTGTCCTAAATGGAACAAAGCCTAAATGACAAAGCACCCATTTAAAATGTTTACTAGAAAGAAATTTTGTGACAGATACCATGTGTTACAGGCTGGCCTAGAATTCCCCATTCAGCCAAGTGTTCGAGTTTCCTTTCTGTTGCTGTGATAAACATTCTGATCCCTTCTTAAGGAAAGAAATACTTTATTTCATCTTATACTTCTAGGTCACAGTCCATCATGAAGGGAAGTCAAGGACAGGAAGTCAATTAGGAAGCTAAAGACAGAACCATGGAGGAATGTGGCTTGCAGGCTTGCTCTCTGGCTCACTTCCTGGCTCATGCTTAGCTAGCTTTTTATCCAGCTCAGGACTACATGCCTGAGGAACAGTGCCACTCATGATGGGTTGGGCCTTACATCAATTGGGCTTACATCAATTAATAATCAAGACAATTAATCATAAATACACTCCCAGTCCAACCTGATCCAGGCACATCTTCTACTGAGGCTTCTCCTCTCAAAAAATTCCAGGATGTGAAGATGACTGACTAAGCCTAAATGGGACATCCAGGATGACTTCTGGTCCTCTTGTCTCTTCCCGAGTACTGGGGTCACAGGTATGTACCATCACATACCTGTGGTGCTGCAGATCAGCCCCAGGGATGTGTGTCTGCTAGCCAAACAGTGTACCAAATGAGCTACATCACCATCCTATTCACTGAGTACTTTAAGCCTACTGTTGAGAAATACTTCTTAGGGAGAACAAAAAACAACAGAAACAACAGCTCTTGCAGAAAAACAAACAAACAAAAATTACTCTTGTTGATAATGAACTTGGATCTCCAAGAGCTCTTATGGGAACAACATGATTTCCATACTTCCTATGGATAGACAGATCTAATGGATCTGGGCAAAGTAAATGTTAAGTGTTCTGGAAAGGATTACTGTGGGCAAATGATATCAAGTAGTACCATGTGCCAAAAACATACCTTGCATGAAAATAAGAGTCAGTTAATGGTTCTGTTATCTGATTGTAAGAAACTGATAAGCAATATCTTATCTTGAATATCTGTGGAAGATCAAGGCCTGTCTGGGATACACTAAAGTTCTAATGTAGCCTGGACTACAAAATGAATGAGAGACCCTGTCTTAAAATAAAAATAATCTAAAGAAGAAAAACTGCCATACCCACTCCAACATTCAGCAAACTCTGGTAAGTAATCAGCCATTAACATAAACACAAGACATTCCACTATCAAAAAGATTACAATCTGTGAAAGGCTCAGATGACTGTCAGCATTTCTTACTAATAAGGAATTCATTGGAGACAGGGCCTCACTATGTTACCCTAGTTGGCTTGGAATTCTGTAGACCAGGCTGGCCTCCAATCACAGAGATCTTCCTGCCTCTGCCTCCCCAGTATTGGGATTAAGGGCGTGTGCCACCAAGTCATCTAATA